GTAAGAGTTATTGCAACCATTTTTATAAGTCAGCAAGTATGAAATTTAGAGCAGAAGGTTAATTTTGGGTGTGACAGAAGTTTAAGAGCTCCTAATGGAAAATATTTGTTTAACCAACTAAAATATTGCCATGAAAAAGTTGTACAATAGATATTATATTTTTACAAATGTACAAGATTTTTCCAAGTTGACAAAGGAACTTTTGTTGTTGAGTTTTTCATGTGGTTTTATTTCTCAATTAAACAGTAAAAACTGGGTGTATCAGGTATCTTAAGTTGATATATCATCATGGCATAACATGTAGGGATGGCAGATTTATCTATTGTCAGGGCATTTATTTCCCTTATCTCACTGACTGTCACCTAGTACAATCCTATGCAATACTGGAATGTTTCATTCCAATTTTAAGTGTTACAACTTGGTAATGCTAGGTTGTATGTGTTTGATGGAATTGTAAATTGTAGCATTCACCCTGTTCAGTTTCATGCAATGCTGTAATGCATCATTTTGTTATAAGTAAAGATAAAATGTACACCATGTAAGCTTGTATTATGCGATGTAATATTGTAATGTCATCCAGTTGGGTGTGATTGCAAAATATGGCATACACCTTGTACAATGCAGGAATGTATCTTTCTGTTTGTAGTGATTGTAATTGTAGTCTTAGTGAATCTGTCAGTGTGTAAACATGTTTTAATCTATAGTCTCTTTCACCTGTCTATTATTTATAGTTAGTAATGCGTATTTATTATCCTCTAAATTCCTACCTTTCTCTTTATCTCCTCAGTTACGAATAGGTGGACAATTTGGGTGGTCAAAAGTACCGTTATGCAATGTACATACTTAACTACACATAACTAGCTTTTGAAATTAGGTACCGTATGGAAAGGTTATGATACCACAATTGTAAATCTGTCATTGTGCCACTTGTGTTGTATCTAATCAATAGTTATGTGTTGTGCCACTATGATCACTTGTGCTGTATCTGATCAAAACTTATCTGTTGTGCCACCGTGATCACTTGTGCTGTATCTAATCAAAAGTTTTGTGTTGTGCCACTATGATCACTTGTGCTGTATCTAATCAAAAGTTATGTGTTGTGCCACTATGATCACTTGTGCTGTATCTGATCAAAACTTATCTGTTGTGCCACCGTGATCACTTGTGCTGTATCTGATCAAAAGTTATCTGTTGTGCCACTCTGTTCACTTGTGTTGTATCTGGTCAAAAGTTATCTGTTGTGCCACTATGATCACTTGTGCTGTATCTGATCAAAAGTTATCTGTTGTGCCACTCTGTTCACTTGTGTTGTATCTGGTCAAAAGTTATCTGTTGTGCCACTATGATCACTTGTGTTGTATCTGATCAAAAGTTATGTGCTTTGCCACTCTGTTCACTTGTGTTGTATCTGATCAAAAGTTATCTGTTGTGCCACTGTGATCACCTACATCCATAGCATCTACTATCATGTACATTCTGCAAAGAAGACTGAAAATCAAAATCATGAATTGAATTGAATCTTTGCATAGTTTAAGTTACAAGTTGTGTGACTGAAGACATCTGAAGACATGTTCTTAGATTTCTCTGGAAGGCCTGAAGGGAATTCAGTTTCTAGTAGTATATTTCCTGTTTATACCTGGCCAGGACAATGTTTATATTCAATGTAAACATTCATAGTTAAAATAAGACAGGTTATTATTCTAAATGAACTTTTTATTATATACAAACTATTAACCATATTTCTAATGTCAGACCTCTCTAAATGGATGACACTTCCACACACTAATTTTAATATGGTCAATCTGAATTTCGAACTAAAATTTGACCAAAACTTTTTATTATATACAAACAATTAACCTTATTTCTAATGTCAGACTGTTCCCTTTGGCTGACACTTCCACACACTAATTTTACTATAGTCAATCTGATCATTTCAAACTCGAAATTTACAAAAAATAACAAGCATAGTTTTCCCCTTGATAGCCTTACATTTTAGTGTAATTCTTGTGACTTTACATGTTCATTATCACATTTCAAAGAATGACTTTGCTTAGATAAGAAATTAATATTAAAGCTTGCTGTGACTTTGAATTCAGAGATATAGGTGGGATATAGGATAGGCCTAAAATGCTTGATGTTGACTTAACTTATTACATGATCCTCGAAAAAGTTGCTGACTAGATGTCTTAAGCTAGTGAGAACTTGGTTGAGAAAATGTACCAATTGAAGCATTTCAACCTATGCCCTGTTTCCACTCAAAATTATTAAAGGGTTCTTTCATCAGCGCTTGATATTACCTGCAATCCTGCAAAATTCAATTGTGTTACTTCTCTATCCCTGAAAATATAATGTAGACACCAACAGACTGCATTACCACTTTTATAAGGTAGACTTCGGTTTCAATGTTCTACTAGACCTCCTATATTTATCTAACTTTGAAAATAATGATTAAAATAATAGAGCCCACATGTTCACTCATACTTAATGTCATTATTTATGAATATAACACATTGGGTTAAGAGGTTATACAGACAAAAGAGTTGTTGACCTTCTCACTAGTCTATTTTCATGTTCTACATGGAGATTTGGAAGCAATTACTAATTATTAACCCATATTGTGCCAATCTTTTTTCCTTTTGATCTATAATTTCTCTAACAAGGATGTTGATGGGTCTGAATTGATCTGTCGTGTGTGGTTACATCCAATTGGCATTAGTTGAACTTTTCTTCTTTTTTTTTCACGAGCTTGCAAAAATAGTAGTTATCTCATTTAGCTCATGTCATCTGATCTCATTTAGCTCATGTCATCTGATCTCATTTAGCTCATGTCATCTGATCTCATTCAGCTCATGTCATCTGATCTCATTTAGCTCATGTCATCTGATCTCATTCAGCTCATGTCATCTGATCTCATTGGGTCAGTGTGTCTTCACGAAACTGATCAGAAACAAAGATGTCTGATGCTAAATATCATTTGATTTCATCTCATGTACATAAATTGGTCTTTATTCATATATTTTATATGCATCTATTTATCATGTCCAAAAAAAATCAGACATCAAACTCCATTCTATTTCACTTGCATAAAGATTATAAATTAAAGGATGAATTAAAAATTACTTCTTAACTTTTTATTTTGTAATTTCACCTGATGTTTATAAAACCATGCATTCTTATATTCTTTGTAAATTTATGCATGACAAAACAAATTAAAATTCATGTCATAATAACATGTTTTGTTACACAAAAAGATCTGAACTTAATGTATGTTTATCATGAAACTATTTTTAACTTGAGCATAAAATATGAGGACAATGGCACACCTGACTGTGTTCCTTATTCATATCATTGTGTTATCTTATCTGCTTTGAGGCGTAGTCTACCTTCCTTACACGTTGATAAATTAAATTATTAAAATATTTCTGTGGATGCTTGTCACATTTTTATTAGGATTTTTAATACTATGGTTATATCAATGAATAGGTAGGATAATTTTTGATTATAATAATTTGGTATCAAATAAGCTTTAGATATGACTGGTTGCATAGATTAATATCCTTAAAAGCAGTGGCCTGATAATTAAGGTCAATGCATATGGAATTTTCTTCCTAATTCACACTTATATACCTGATTCTAGTATTGAATGAAACAGTTGGTAATAGTTTGTAAATGATTTATTCCTACAAGCAAAAGTTTCAGTTAATTTTAAAATGTGAGCTAAAAATAATTGAATAGAGGTTTATTGTCCTTTCATCAGGATATACATCAATAGTCGGAAGGGCTGATATTGAAAATATGTCTGGTCATTTGAATGGGACAATAAACCAAGAACCCATATGTGAACAATTTTTATGACAAAATAGCTCGTGTTGATAATAGTTGTACAACAGTTATACAATAGTCTTTTTTTAAAAATGAAAAAGATGTTTTGAAATCTGTGTGAAATATTTACCCTTAAACGGCTGATAACTTTTTTTTTTTTCAAAAGTATGTGTTTTAAGAACAGTACTCGTAACAAAATTAATGTCAATGATTTTTAATCTTCAGTGATATTGTCATGTTACCTAGGTGATATTGATTTTTGTTTAATCTTCATATTGTGATGTCATTTTGTCATTTTCTCATTACATCAAGGACTAAAATCAATGGTATTTTGGTCAAAATAAGACCAAATATTACCGTTTATCTGTGACCTGTGAATATAATGACATTGTATTTCACCATGGAAACTATTTATGATTCATTTGATGAAAAGAAAATGAAATTTCATTTAATTTTCACCATCTTTTAAGCCAAAGTTTGCTATTCATTTACGAAACATATGTAAAGAAGCAGTAAATGGGTCAATGTTACTATATTGTGACCTTGACAAACCATGTGTTATTACACGTAGATGTGTACAGTGTAATTTGTGAACTGTTGAAATAATAAGGATTCATGTTGTTTTTATTCAAATCATAAGCCAACAGTTGATCTACATTTAACTGGTTTCCAACTATCCAGAAACAGAGATATCAACACACTTTCCACTTCAAGTAAATATTCACTGAGTAAAATCAACTGTTAATCCACTGAACCAGTTTCCATTTGTGAACAGTCGTGATTGACAAGCAATCATCATATTGTATAGTAATCAGTATTCACCATCCGGTTGCATGCCACTGTGAGTGATTATCATTATTTCTGTGAAATGGCTTCTTTGAACTGGCTTCCGCATTAGTGGTATTACTGATGTCATGTGATCACTGATTAATAAATCAACATTTTGGGATCAATTAGTTTATTGATTAGAGAACAATATGGCATAAATAACAAACTCTGTCCATTTCATTCGATCATTCAGACTTTCAGAATCAATCATGGCTACTCAACAAACTAAACGTCAACGCTTTGAGGTTACAGCACGTGAAAAAAAGGAAATTTGTGAATATAAAATAAAGTATCCTAAGGCTAGTTTAGATGCTTTAAGTCAACATTTTGAGAAAGAATTTGGTCATAGAATAGGTAAATCTACTGTTGGTGATATTGTACGAAACAAAGAAAAGTGGTTGAATATTCCTGAAGATTCGTCATCGTTATCGCGAACTCGGCATGCAAAGCATGAAAAACTTGAAGAAGGACTTAATTTGTGGATTCATGACATGAACAGTAGAAATGTAGCAATTAGCGATATGTTGCTTATCGAAAAGGCAAAAGATATTGGAACTAAGTTAAATGTGACGGATTTCGCCTATTCTCGTGGTTGGCTTGCACGTTTCAAAACACGTCATTCTATTGTTAGATGTCATTTCAAGGGTGAAGCTGTAAGTGAAAATAAAACAACAGACATTAAAGGCGAGGAAAAATTAAACTCAGTGTTAGCAGATTATACGGATGAAAACATTTTCAACATTGATGAGACTGATCTGCTCTTTAAGTTAGGTCCTACTTATACTTTAGCATCAGTGTCTAGTGTCAAATGTTCAAAGGAGCGAATAACTGTTGCTTTATGTGCCAATGCTACTGGTACAATGAAAATTAAACCATTTGTGATTGGTAAGACAAGAAGACCACATTCTTTTGGTATGTATTTTAACCCAGAATTATATGTCCGATACAGGTTTAATGCAAAGGCATGGATGACCTCAGAACTGTTTGCTGATTGGTTGATTTCGTTTGATCGTCAAATGAAAGCCAAAGGTAGACATGTGTTGCTATTGTGTGATAATGCTGCCAGACACAATTCAAATACAAAGTTGTCCAATGTAAAACTCTATTTTCTACCTCCCAACACAACAGGTTCTATTCAACCAATGGACGCTGGTATCATACATGCATTCAAAGCTTATTACAGACAATTTTTAGTGAAACATTATATTGGTTGTGCCGAACGTGATATGTCCCAATCACTAAATTTGAGACAAGCAATCCGTTTTGTTAAAGACGCCTGGAATGCCCTGACAGCCTCTACCATTTCCAATTGTTTCAGTCATTTGGATGTCATAGACCAAAATGGAAATGATAACAAGGAAGGGATTGATACCCCACTTGCTGAATTACGCGCAATTCTAAAAAAAGTAGGCTTACCTGATAGTGATGACATTATGACTGCTGAAGACTATGTGAATATTGACAAAGAAGAAATAACTTGTGACCAACTAACAGATGATGACATCATCAGACTTGTGGATGGGGAAAATGAATCATCAGATGATAATGATGTAGACGATGAAACAACATGTTTAGCTCCGACATCACATGAAGCTAGGGAACATCTGGAAGCCCTCCTTTATTTTTATGAAAATAATGGTGAAATAGATCAAGTTAATGCTATATCTTCATTAATTGCATCTTTCAAACATTCAAAAGGAAGCCAAACGACCATAGAGGACAATTGCCAAGAATGATATAATATGTTGTTGTTTTACATCTTATTGTTTATTATTATACATTTTTATTGAAATGAAATAAAAAAATGATATACAATCACAGTTTTTCTATCAGGATTATACAAGCATACAAAGTACATAAATCTAATGTTATGTCACTTGTTACAACAAATATGCATTTGTAAATTGTAAATGTGCAGATAAATGAGGTTCTACTGTAGAATATTTGTCTCCACAATGTTACAGTTAGGATGTGGGTGTGTTAAATAATTATTATCAAATTAACCATATGTCATTATGAAAAGAGAATACGCCTGACATTTTGAATTTCTGATGATTTCGCCTTTGAATATTTTGAGCTATAATCTATACAAAGGTAAAAAGAAGCTTCAAAATAGATGGGTCTGTAACCCAAGTAAAGATTAATATGTTATAGTTCTTATGATTGGTGAATAATTCTTGATACAGGCAAATTTGAGATCATTACAAATTCAATAAGGAACAATCATAGACATAGCCTTGAAGATTCTGGACTTTTTCATAATACTTTATTAAGATTTCTGTAAGACATTGAAGGACATCATTGAAAGCCTTAGGCAAATGTTTTGCTTCACATCACAAATATTTAATGTGACCATGAAAGTATCAATCCATGTACATGTTGACAGTAATTGAGAATTTACCTAAAATCCTCATATGTAAGCAAGGTTTATACTTAAGGTCACTTTACACCCACTTGAAGTGTATTTATTTAGAAGATTTAGTGTAGTAATACAACAGGTGTAGAGTGAGATATTGATGGTGTTTTTGACCTATTTTACCTGTACTGTTATATATTTTAATTGATTTGATATTAAAAGTATAACTCAAGTAAACCTAGTAAATAGTTGTCAGTATATACATGCATTTATTTTGCCTTGTTGCATCCTTGTAAAGAGAAACAATGTACTTTACAATCTGATTATACTGATTTTGATGTGGACTTAAATGTGTGGGAGCTATTTTGGACTTTTTTGTACAGGTACTTTAAAGTACCAACAAAATGACATTCCAAATATATTAAGCTTTTCTGGGCATATTTGATGTCCTATTGCTTTTTTCCTTCCCAAGGAACAGTAATAGATGTTCGAATCTCCTAACTCAGATGTCCATGATCATCAAAGAGTTACCGATCTGATTTGCAGCTTTCTAGATGAGTATTTAGTGATCTGTTTCTTCTCTGTGGAATAAATCTGTGATTTGCCTTTTCTCACTTGAGAAATCAATAGTTTAGTGATATTTCTCTTCTCAGTGCAGAAGCTCAGCTAATTAGAAAATTGGCAGTTTTGTTTTGTCTCTATGGAGAAATTGAGGTTTTCCCTATCCAAACTTTTGATATTCTCTATAAAGAAATACACAATACTTAGGCCACCTCAGAGCCAATTGACATTGTGAATGAATCTCCCCTTAATAGATTAACTAAATTGACATGTAATTTTAACTTGTGACATTTAGATAAAATAGTTGATAGCTTAGTGGAGCAATTTATCCCAAATTACCCTACAACCATTGTTACCCTAATTACCCCTATTGTTATCTTCCAATTACACCCTGTTATTCAAATTCCACAGTCATTTGTTAGTGTTAAAATTAACATGTCACTGGCAATTTTGGCAGAAGTCATTTATATATCTGTGTTCTCGTGGACTGGAAAATGTTATTTTGCATACCTGTGAATACCTTTTGACTGTTATGTGTTGAATGTAACATAACAATGTAGTTTGTTTATATTATGATTGTTAATTGTTGATGCAAGGACAAATTGTGTGATAAAAAGTTAGTTGTAGCTGCAAGTCATGAATGTTAGATATAGTTTCTGAGCTCTGATAGGATTGAAATCATGCCGTCTGCTTTAGTCAGGTATTGTTTGTAATTTATTCATTTAGTTTCTGTGAATTATTATTACATATTACAGATAAAATGAAGTGTTTGTATGCATACTTTTTCAATTTCTCATGGTGGTAGTGTGTCTATGGTGATTCTCAGCAACTAATCAGATCCATCGCAGTTGACATAGAGATGCTAAGGTTGACTACACAGTGGAGTTTTTAAGAAACATTAGTTCAGAGAGCCGAGCAGGGGCCACAAAATTTTCCAGGGGGGCAACAGGTTATTCTTTCTCTATGTAAATTGTCCAAAATTTTGAAAGTGGGGGGCCATGTTTGTTTGACGTTTATATTTCAGATTGGTAATCAATTTATTTGTGTGTATTTTTCAGAGTTATCAATTGGTATATGTGTGTATTTCAGATTGGTAATCAATTTATTTGTGTGTATATTTCAGATTAGTAATTAATTTGTATGGGTGTATATTTCAGAGTTATCAATTGGTATATGTGTGTATTTCAGATTAGTTATCAATATGTATGGGTGTTTATTTCAGATTAGTTATCAATTTGTATATGTGTATATTTCAGATTAGTTATCAATTTGTATATGTGTATATTTCAGATTAGTTATCAATTTGTATTGGTGTATATTTCAGATCAGTTGTCAATTTATATTTGTATATATATCAAATTAGTTAGCAATTTGTATTTGTATATATTTCAGATTAGTTTTTAATTTTTATATGTGAATATTTCAGATAAGTTATCAATTTGTAAGTGTGTATATTTCAGATTAGTTATCAATTTGTATGTGTATATTTTAAGTAAGTAATCAATTTGTATTTGTGTATATTTCAGATTAGTTTTAGAGAAGAAGTACAACCAACAGTTAATGGCCACTAAACATATAGCAGTATCAACATGGTTAGAGGCTATAGGGCTTATCGACTATCTACCACTTTTTACACAATATGTGGGGGTTGAGGTAAGTTTTTTTTTCATCAATTATGCACAATAAAAACAATTTGAGAGAGAGGTGCCATATTGACAACTGAGTCACAGTATGGTCTGTTGATTAAACTGAATTCCTGCAGAATTTTGGGTATAACTAAAATTTTAGGACAATCTGGTAGTGAATATCTAAGTTTCAAACAATAACAATTTTTCCAAGAACCAATTGTTTTGTATACACTTTTAATCATCATATTATTTAATTTAACAACATGACTTTGTGGTATTCTTAAGAATTTGGACTTGGTTTATGAAAGATTTATATAGATAAATCTGATACATTATGATACATCATAAATTGTCAAAACATGATATACGTAATTAGATATCACCATACGTAAAAAAAACTATTTAGGTTAATGCCTGGGGCTAGGTCAGTGTGTTTGTCTAAAACAATATTATACTCATCCCCCAGCATACCTTTCATAGACACTCAAATATTTACTTTTTTTTAAATTTGATAAAATTTTTAAAGTTAAAGAGAATTGATCTAGCTGTATTATTAGGTTAGGAGACACAGAAAAGCAAATAATTGCGAAAGGGTGATAAAGAAACTGAAATTGTAGCTCAAATCTGCCATCGTAGCCTAAATATTTAGAAATACAAAGCCGCAGCATGCATTTTCAAAACAAGTTGTTGGTTGTTGTTTAAATACTGGAAAAAAGGAATCTTAACTTGTCTTGTAGGAGATAATAGTAACATTAGCTTTATGTGTCAAACCAAATACATTAAAGGCTTTGACAAGTAGAGAAATGTAATTGGAAGGTATCTTATTATAGGTCATAACTATTGACATTTAAAAAAGTTACTACATTACTTTATTGTCATATTTTAATGACATGTTTTGACATGTGATTTATAATTATATTCTTTTTCTGTATGTGGTAATGACTTAATCTGAAATTTTAAAAAAATGACAGATTTCTGCAATTTACGTGTCAAATTGCAAAAATTGATTGAAAAAGTAGATTTAAAAACAAGTTTGATTAATTGCTAATATTGAGTCTTATGACTTCCATTAATATCTGAAATTTAGGAATTAAGAATTGATTAAAGGGAGAAGCAATATATGAACATTGACTGTAGCAAATGCTGAAAGAGAGAATAAATATATGAACATTGGCTAATGGCTGTAGCAAAAGCTAAAAGGGAGAAGCAATATATGAACATAGGCTGTAGCAAATGCTGAAAGGGAGAAGCAATATATATGAACATTGGCTATTAATTGTAGCAAATGCTGAAAGAGAGAAGCAATATATGAACATTGTCTATTGGCTGTAGCAAATGCTGAAAGGGAGAAGCAATATATGCACATTGGCTATAGAAATTTCTGAAAGGGAGAAGCAATATTTGAACATTAGCTTAAACATCTTTGCTATACAGTTAAACTATTATGTAAACACCATTTTATTGAAAACAAAAGCATTATTCATGTTATTGTGAAAAATGAAAATTGTGGTTCACACTCAAATATGTGCATATAGTCATGTACAATTCTTACGTTCAACATAAGACATTAACATATTTCCTAATAATAAAATTATTTATAATGAAAGCCAATGAGTAAAGATCCAAGTGTTGGTTTCCTGTCATGATGTTTTGAGATCTAACACTCCAACGTCAGTTCTATATCATTAAGGATATGATTCAAATTGTGAATAATGTGTGTGAAATTTATCCATTTTTGTTCACATTAAAGTCAGGTACGAAGTCATTTACTAGCATAAGCTTTGAACTATGGCCTTTTTTTTTCCAAAAACTGATTTGTCAGTCACTAAAATTTATTTTAAATTTTTCAGATATTGATCAAATTTTAAGATCTGTTTTTATCTTTGTTAAAGTGTTAAGAATAAGAAAGCTATTTACAAGGTCAAGTGAGACCAAATAAGTCTTAATTTTTGTTCACATATCTTAGATCAGAGGCCATACCACTCAAATTGAATGTATTTTCACAACATCACTCAGATATTTTTCATACTAAAATCAAATCATACGTTTTCCTGAATGAATCAATATTTCATGCTCAGGTTCATGGAGTCAAATTCTCATGATTTTGACCTTCAAATTTCAATACCCCATTATCCACTTAAAATACTTGTCAAATTGGTGTAAGAAAGTGGTATATAAACCAATGAAATAATACAGATAAGATATATATCCTTCCTGTGATATGATATCATAATATTGATAAGGATAGGAATCTAGTAATTGTTATATACGCAGCTAATCAGGATATATAGTTAGAAATACTTTGTGCAGGGACAAGAGCACAAATATACAGTATGTATCATTATTGTTATACTTTTGGAAAGCTTAGAGAAAAACTAGAACTTCAATATAACTTTTATTTAACACAAAAAATTTATACAGTAAATTTTCTTAGAGTAGGGACAAGCAGGGATAAGCACACAAATGTATCGTTGAGGTATTATGATTGTTTTTTTTTTTGAGAAAATTCAGAAAGATGCCTTGAATTAAATAACTGAAACTTAAATGTTGTTTTTAGTAGTTTGATCTGTACATATATATTCCTAGGTAAAATGTAATTCTGTTTTACATGACAGGTCTGTTTCCATTTATTCAGGCTAACAAATGTCATAAAAATCTAGAGAATTTCCATAACAATGGCAGATTCCATTATGTCATATATGGAAATAATTTAGATTAGACACAATGAATAAAAAGGATCAATATTAATTATCAAATATTTGTTCTCCATACTGCATGTATATCATGAAAGATTTAAAGGGGTTTATTAATGGTGTGATATCTAGTAATAAGATGCTATATAAATGTGATATAGGTAAAAACACATGTTTATTTAATAATCTTCTATTACATATACATACTAATTGATATCTCAATTATCTTTTAAAATACTGACAGCAAGATAAGAGGAATAGTTCTAGTCTATTTCATATTTTGTAGTTATTTAAAACCATGTTATTGTAATTGGTAATTGATCATTAAGGATGTTTCAAACCAAAATACTTTAATGTGTGTGGAAACTGGAGTTAAATCTTGTGATCTAATTTTCAGGATTTACTTTACCTGACTGAATCTGAAATTAGAGATTTAGGAGTTCATAATGGTGGACATCGTGCCAAAATAGTTTCAAGTCTTCGTATTCTCAAGGAGAAATATGAGAAAGGTAATACCATGTTAATATTCTTATATTTTCCTTGAGTTATTCTTAGGTTAAGTTACTTAGTTAGTAAAACTGATAGAGTAAATTTCTGTATTTCTTTTCAAAGTAAAGTCCAATGTCTGGTTAGTCTACAAAACAATGAAAATATTTTGAGGAAGTTTAGAATGTTCTGCTATGTAGAAATTAAAGTATTTACATTTAAATATTAACAATATTATTAAAGACACAATTGACAAAGATCTGGACAGAGTTTCTGTTATTTGAAATTGAGCTCTATCAACAAACAATGTATATGTCCTTATTAGAATGTCTATATTCTATGTGATTTTTCTTCATTCTTATGAGTTTTGGTTATGATATAAAATTCAGTGCTCTATGTCCTACATCTGAAACATTTTGCAGTCAAGGTTTATTTTTCATCTAGAACCAAAACAAATGTTTTCTTTGATATACTATAATAGTACAAGGTATATCTTGTAACTACATGACTTATAATAACCACACTATTAAATGATATACTAAAATCAGGTGTCAGATTGTAATTCTTAAAACTGATACAGATTGAATGGTTCCTAAGATTATAAGGTGTCTGTGATTATGGTTCAATGAGTTGTGTTATCTATTTACAGGACGTAGTCATAAATCACCAGATCATTCACTGAATAAACCAAATCAGATTCTATCACCTCATGTTCAGTAAGTAAACAATATTTCTAATTTTGTTTTAAAGTTATGCTTTGATATAGGTTTTAATCAGGTCATTTTCAACATTAATAAAGAAAATTTTTTGGATCCATTTAAGCAAATTTGTTGATGTGACTGGACTTGGTTTTCAAAAACACATTCTCTCCTGTGGTATTTGCATGTTTATACATTATTAAAATATCATGGATGTTTCTTGTCAAAATATACGTTGATTTAAGTCTGGTAGATGGAAAGTCTATGACTACTTTATCTTTCATCTCTTCTTTCAGAGTTTCTCCACCATCACCATTGAGTCATCCTGACTACTCCACAGTATCACCTGAAAAACTCCAGGCAGATTTACAACGAGAATTACATTCAGACTCTTCTGAACTCAAAAGTCATGGATGGTATCATGGTAACATCACCAGACAACATGCAGAAGCCATTGTGAAGGCTGATGGTGAATTTTTAGTGCGAGACTGTATTTCAAAACCTGGTGATTTTGTGCTGACCTGTTGTTGGCATGGTGTTCCTCTTCATTTTATGATCAATGCAAGTGTTCAAGAAGCAGAAAGAGGAGCTCTACCTAAAATACTTTATCAGTTTGAGGACGATTCATTTCAAGCGATCCAAGATCTTATTCATCATTATTTATCCAAATCTAAATTTGTGACACAGACTTCTAAAGCTGTATTAAAGCAACCAATCTCACGCTCTATGCCATTGAGTTACTATGACTCCAAATATGGAGCTTTAAGTAGTTTATCTTCTGCTGGTGCTTATACTCCTACACAAAGTCCACGACCAAGTCCATTTGCTTCACCATCAGATAGTCCTACAAATAGTCCAAAAATGGATAGAAGAAGACCATATCGAACTGGCAGTCAGCCAATGTTGTCTGTTGAAGAACTGAGAGATGCACCAAAGATCCAAATCCAATCAATGGATCGTTCTGACAGTTTACCAGCAATTAATGTACCTGTTTCTAAACATCGCCGTTCTCCATCCCGAGACAGACCAGTTTATAATTATCATCAGAGATCTGGTAGTGAACCAGTATTAATGTCAGAAACACTCCATGTACCAAATACTCTGGCCTGCAACAAAATAGGTTCAGATAGTGATTTATCCAAACCTGCCCCACCAAAACCTAGTCGAATACCATCAGTCAAGTACAAACAACGACCTAAGGTCCAAGTGAGAAATATAGCCCTGTATGAAGATGATGGTAGAGATTACTCAGATTATTGTCAAGTTAAAGAAGATCCCAGTTGGTTAAAGGGGAACAACTCTCAGCCTGTATCACCAGACGCAACTACACCAGTGTGTATATCTAGTCCTTTTGACATTTATGACAATAATTTTAATAACATCAAACCAAATCCACTCCTATCACATGAATTATATGGGAAAGTGCTCAGTAATCGGAACTTCCCAGACTTGAAATCTCCACAAAAAGAATTTTCTTCTCAAGATATTTATAACATAAACAATAAATATGATAATACTTTCATGAAAAGACGGAAAATAACCATTCCTGTGATAAAGAATGAAATGAGTTTTAACCTTACTGGAAGTAACTTTAATGTGTTACCCAATGACTGTAAGCCATTAGAAGCAGGGAGTATGATCACCATTAAAGGTATTCTATTAGAAAAGGATCCAAGGACTCTAGCTTTACACTGTACTAAAACAGATTTACAATGTGTTCATGTTTTAAGTCATGAAGATTTTGGAATGGGTGTTGAATCGGGACTAGAGCTATTAACATTACCTCAAGGGAAGCAACTACGTCAAGATCTGATTGAGAGGTTGGTAAAGAAATTAAATCATTGTATTTCTTGTGTGTAGTTCTTATTACTTTCCGATCCTTAAGATTGATAAATTTGGAAATATCTGCTTTATGTTCTTGAGCATTTGAAACTAAACAAGAATCACGTTTGAATGTGGTATGGAAATTTTTCTATCAAAATGGATAAAAAAAATTCATCAGTATTGGGTTTATAAATATATCCAACATCTTCCAGTAAATATATATCGTGAAATTTCTAGACTGTCCTGGTTGTTATTGACAGTACTTGTATTTGCATCAAGATGGTTAATGACATATTTGGGTGTGATGACTTTGCTGAATTGAAGGGCAAATTGGAAGCTAAAGCTGTGCCAGAGCAGAAATCGGCTGTATGCCTTGCAGGATTTTTGTCTTAATTGAAACATTATTTTCTTATTTTTATTTTACAAGATAGATTCAGATTTGACTAATTTTTGTGTTTTTCAGATGTCACTGTATGAAGTTATTAGTGATAGTAACTATATTAACTTGTAGTACTATTAGTGAACGAGCTCAAATGATAAGTCAGTGGGTCATGGTTTCTCAAGAACTCAAACTATTGGGAAATTTATTTGGTTTTGTTAACGTAATGGATGGCATTATGTCCCCTCTTGTAAGTGAATCTTAAATGATAGACAAATGTCAATGAGCTTTATGAATTCTATTTAAGCAATGATTTAAATTTGACAGTCTGCTAGGTTTCAGATTGTTCTTATCTTCACCATGTCAAGCTATAATGAACTGTGTACTTATACTTTGACCGCAATAGTCACCTTTTTTGTATTATGGAAATTTGTACAAAAAGCGATTTGATTAGATTGTTCGAATATGAATAAGCCAATTAGAGTTCTCAAAAGAAAATCTGTTAACACAAAGCCACAATGTTTACAGTTTTTCTTTTGAAGGCTCTGGTTGACTGTATTCGCTATGTATTAAGGCTGTGCACGTTAAGAAAAAGCAGGCTAATGCCGCTGTCCTGGCAAAATTTCCATCATTGCACCCTGAATGGCTTTGCCCGTCTGCATGGTGCAGAGAAGTAGGACGAAAAACTCCATTCATTTCATTTCGCTGCACTTACTCTTTCCACTCTTTCTTTAATTTAAATTTTACCAATTGTTGCAGACAATGAATTATATGGTTCTGTTGTATAATTAATACAATAATTGAATTTTTTGCCTTTTTTCCAGGTAACAAGATTGAAAACAACTCGTTTAATTTTACGTCAGAATCATACAAATAGTGCTTATATATTAGATACCAAACTAAAAACTGCATACAAATCTTTAAATGAGGGTACTAGTTCTCTCCCTTTACAGAATGTGTGTGTGCCAAATATCAACCCTTTAGTATATTTATTAGAGCGTGATTTAGAAACAGTGTTAAATGAGTTACCATGGGAACGAATAAATCCAATTGCAGGATTGGAAATGTTTTTAACTCATTTGGACACAGCACGAGTGATTGCTGCTCAGGTGGAACTGTACCAAATAACAGGAAGAGCTGTAATGGCAGATTTTCAAGGAGATGAAGACATTTCGGAAGTTTTTGATACAAGATTACAATTGAATTTACTATGGGGAGCTCGAGGTAGCAGTGTTAATCGTGTTGATAGACATCGTAAATTTGATCAGTTATTAACTATATTATCAGAACGTGCTGAAAAATCTAATGATGATGGTACAGCTGTGTAGCTTGTGTCAGGCAGGAGTTAATGCTCATTGAAATTGTATGTGTAGAATGATAAATAATGATCACACCGTTACTGACTTTTTCTATTCTGATGTCCTTAGCTACTATTGGTGGATATCTGTTTAATGATTAATGATTACATTTACATTAAATTTATATACCACTGTGTTCATAACATGTATATTATTTCCAATATTTATATAAAAATACAACTGAAACTCAGTTTTTAACCATAAAAAGATTTCCAGATTCACCCATGGGAACTGATTAAAAGGGAGATTCCATATTAATTCTATGTGCAATATTCTGTCTTTTCTGACACTAATTTAGCTTATTTACAATCTTCAATGTTGTAATTTGTGTTATATTTAAATCTTACATCAAGGTATCTGGATATAGCCATTGACACAACTAAAAACAAAGTGGGACATTTAGACATAATATAGTCATTTCATACATCATGCATCATACTTTGAACCTCTGATGAATGGTTCTCTTCAAGATAATTTATCAAATGATGAAATGGTGTGTTGTTTTGGTTATAAATTTGTTATATTGTTTAGATATGACATGGTAAATACTGTAACTTACAGTAGAGATAGTTCAGTCACACTAGTACAGTATCTTAATAATATTTTACCAATTATAAACATCTTCTAATTATAATTTCTTCTAAATAACAGTATTATTACCACACCAGCAGATTAGAAATCATGGTTTATCCTTTGCCTTTTTTTTTTTTAAAGAATTATGTTCAAAGGACTGTTTCATGTTATCTGTGTCTCAGCAAATGGATTCAAAGGAGGTTTCCAAGCCTTTGTAGTAGGTTTTATTGAGAGATTGTTCATTATATTATGTATTTAACTGTTTCATTGTTGCTTTATTCATTGTTGTTGGTTTCCTTGTACAGATTTTTTTACAAAAGTGCTTTTTATAATAAAATAAAATCAATTACATTTTTCTTTTTTGATATTGAACTGTCTTCAGTTTTATGATTGTTTTGCAATTTACCAATAAGTTTAAAGCATCATTAATGACCCTCAGTGGTTTGGCTTTATGCTCTAAGAAATAGAAGAATTAGACAATTTTTCATTACTGCTTCCAAATTCTTTTTTTTCTTATGAACTGTTCTCTTGAAAGAGTGGCATCTACCTTTTCAATGCTGACCAAATAATGGCAGGTCCATTTGTACATTGAAATATCCAGAGAGACCAGATAACCAGGAATACATTGTATCACTAAGAATAGGTAATCTGGTCAAACAAGCAACATGTCTAAACTTTCAAAAGTTTTTATGAACTGTTCACTATATACTTAGGAGTCAAAATAATAGAGTCATCGCTAACAATTGTCATGGTCTCATTTCAAATCTAATTAATCATTTGAGCTTTCGTTGAAGAGCTATTGTCAATCAATAGTGTCTTTAATTTTCTATCTCTTACCTCCCTTTATAACTTATTGACTTTGGCGTCCTTAGATACGATAGTAACTATAAATAGTTAATCAGATAATCCAAATGAATAACTGTTAGGACTACTTACAAATACTTCTATATATAATCAGGTGAAATATACTATATCGTGTGTCAAAGAAAAAACCAAGTCTTGGATCAGGTAGGGTTAAACTAAATTTTCTCACAGATCCAAAGTACCTTGACCAGAGTGACCCTAAACAGAATCCGTAGTCAGCAGAGCTCGCAATTCATGGGAATACAGGCTAATTGGTATATTAATCTGTTCTTTATTGAGGCAGTTGTGAATAATTATTTGACACTCTCGGGGGAGTGGCTGGCTGAGGGGGGTGAAATATTTCTCGATTGGCGCAGATGTGGTCAACTACATATTCTCCCGATTATATACATGTTCAGCTGATAGTAGCAATTTCTATTTCAATTTAGATTACAAAGTATAACATTCTTCAGAATGGATATGATAACAAAACGACCCCTGGAAGCCAATACTCCGTATACAGTATTAACAGATGAACAACTTCGAAATATCAAAAAGGTTAGTATGGCGATATTTTCAAACATCATACACAACGTTCGACTTTCTTTCAATGGAATTGCATGGAACTTTGTATATCATTATGCTCTTACTCATCAACTAGGTTCAGTCTCGACTGCTCCTTCTGCATCCATGGTCCGCCATTTCTAGTCTATTTTACGTTCGATAATTGTTGAAGGAGCAAATGGATCAAACCATTATGTACAGATAGCAAATAAATATGAACTTTTAACAATTCCTGATAATGTTGAATGTTTTGTTTAAGGATTCCAGTCCTTTCTTTATGGGACCAGCAGTTCGTGAAGAAATGAGTGAAGAGCGAAAGAGAACAGAACAACCAATTAAAGCCAGATTTGCTTATGCTATGAGCTCCACTACAACACGTGGAGGTTATCCTACAGAAAAATCATGTTATATAGGCGAACAATTTAGTCGGTTTCCAGACCCTAATCATGATACATGTAGATTAGGAGCTGGTGAAAGATGGGGACCACAGAAAGCAGGTTAGTCAATCTTCAATAGATACTGATGTACGGGGTACCAGGTCCAATTATTGCAAGGGTTACTATGTCTTGTGCGTCTGTAGCTCACCATACCATTCATGATCTGAGTATATTCGTGCTAAAATAGCGTTGGTAATAATGTATCCTAACCATTACACTGGAAAATCTGGACTGACAATGTTCAACGAAGAATACCACGCAAATTTTATTGACAAAAGCAGAATATTCGACTAATTGAATCTGATTATCCATCTGGTATGGAATGCAAATAAATAAACATTCCATAAAGTGTTAATATATGCACCAAAATGATTTAAGGATCGATGAACAATCTGGCCAAGGGCCATGTCATCATATTTGGTTTTGGAATTAAGATAACTTTTTTTTGTGTGTGTCATTGATCAAAGGCCAATTTTACCATTTTATGTTTTCAGGTTCCAGAACGTTACATCATTACGAAAAAGAACAAGACCCATTACGTTATACGACCATCGATATGTATCGTCGACCGAATACAAATTTACCAGGACCCAATATAATGAAATTTGGACGAGCAGCAGATGGTTTCTACCAGGAAAAATTTCCCAATCGACTTACCACAAGATTTACAGCATAGACTAGTAGTGGTCCTAATTCTATTTATGTATTGTTTTATTTTGTCTGCTAATATATTTCATTATACCGAAAAGAATCCGAGTTATACGTCCTTATTTAACTTAATTTAGTCTTTTGAAGACTGGTTATTCTTGAAATGATTTAAAATAAATCAACTCAAAGTTTATCTATTTATCCTATTCCACTGTCCGATAGGACTCCATCTTACAGAAAGTTGCGAAAACAGTTGAAGTAACACAATACTATAATCCAATCCCTCAGATTTGATGTGAGAGAAGAGGAGCATTTTCACATAATGTTTGTACCATGTCACCATTAATTGGCTTTGGCGTTAACTCTTTTTATTAAATGAAGATACTAATGATTGTTCGATCCTCTCTAATGTGAGGGGATCATTCTGATTGATAGCAATATATAAATTTGTTGCATGTGGGATTAATGTTTTCCATGTCATTCACGTGCAGAGGTAATGTTCTAGCAACTGGTGCAGTTTTTTGGGTTTTGGCACCCAATTATTCTCAAAATTCAACCCCGTCGCCACTCGCCAAGTGCTCCTAAAAATAGGATAGCAATATCTCTTTCGAGATAATTATTATCATTCTTGTGTGGATTGAACGAGATTTGGTAATAACAGCAAAAGAGAATCATGCCTTTTAAGTGTCGAAATTCTTAACATCCAGAGTGCTGTAAGGTGTAAGATTTTGTTGTATGGCTTGAAAACAAGACGTCGCATTAGATTCTGAACTGATCAGTTGTAAACGCAGATTTGCGTGTAACGATTAACTTAGGTATTCATGGATTGAAAAAAGCTGTACATTGTCTACTCTATTTATACTTTATTCTCTCTGTATATCATACAAAAAATATCATGTAAAAGCTAAAATATATATATTAAACTACATCATAGCGGAATAAGCCAATTTCAACAAACTAAAACAAGATTTTAAACCATTAATGATAGAAATGGGTAAAATGACCACAACGAAAGAAGTGAAATTGAAACGAGAACACAATTGGATACTTCGATCCTTAGCATCAAACAAGTTTGGAATACACAGAATCTTCGTCCCTGTTAAAATGAATAGCATGAAAATTACTCCTTTATGTTTCATTATACCAAACTCAAGTATACACTAGAAATCAAAACTTTTTTAAAAATTTCAAACAATTATTGCAATCGAAATAAAAAGTCTGTGGCTGTGGATCTAAACAAACACGCTATGTAAACTTAAAAAAAAACGATATATAAATATACAACAACTATTTTATTGATTATTTCCAACTTATATTCAGCCATATGCAAGAGTATGTTTTGTTAGAAATTATTTTAGTTCACCTAAAACTTGAGGCTCACAGCCATTCGGCTGAAGTCGTTAATTTCCGTTCATTTTGGTAGCTCTGAGAGACACACTCAATGTCGATAAACGTTTATAAATATATGTAAGAATGTGTAATACCAAATCTAGCACTATTTGTTGCACTTGGTGGGTCATCGTCATCATCATCCATTTTGTTTTCTTGCACATTGGATTCCAAAAGTCTCAAAGCGAATTTAAATTTGAATTTCATATCGCTGGCAAAGCTGTTGGATTGTTTATTGCAGAGTCGCCATGCTTGTTTCAAGACTGGGACATTCAGAAGATCGTTGCTATTTAAAGCAATTTGAAATGATAATGGTGATGTTAATGGTAGTTCAACCAGAGTATATCCAGAAGAATTTAAAACGCACCCAATAAGGCTAGTTTCTTCAAATGAATCAAGGGCAGTAAAGAGACCAGAATATGACGTCAGACGTGGTCGTGTTCCACCATAAACATAACGTAACAGCTGAGGGAATTTTTGGTTGGTGATAATTTGGGAACTGAGCATTGATAATTTGGTACTTTGTTCATCAGTATTTGGTAGAACTTCTATAAATTCTCCAGGGTGACCCAATGGTATCAAAATATCAATGTTTCTTTCGTCACGGCATTTCAAATAACAAAGCTCTTGTTTTGGATTCTCGATATCTGGAGTGACGCCTTCAACTTTCTGTCGAGTGGTACCTTTAAACATTTTATCCACTATAAAGACGCTACCAGGTGAAAATTCCAAACGTGGATAATAATTACTTTGTTGATTCTTGCCAATTTGAAAAGCTGTTAATTTGTTAACATTCACGAACGCTGTTGCTTTACTCTTAGCCAGTGATTCTACACTATTATGAATTATTTCATCTCGTGCTGTTCTTGCATTTAATCTTAAGAAGTGTCCTGGAAGATAAAATTAAAACAAATATGAGTAAGAAAGATGAAATGTCATGTGTACGATGCAGCTGGATTGTTAAAAATATGTTTGTATCCATCGAAACTCTGAATTAATGTCATAGAGGTTATTTTTATTAAAGCCGTGTTATAAAAATGAGTGTGTGTTATTGGTCCATAAAAGTAGGGACTTTTTTAATCCCAGTCCCATGACCTTTTATATTATGATCATATAAGACACAGGGTAGCCATTTTCATCCCCCCTCTCCCCTTTCTGTTTTAGGATCCTATGCCTATGAGGGCAGGTGTGTAGAATTATATTAAGTTAGAAGGGTAATACACTAGAATACAATAAGCAGGATTAAGGATTATCCAGTTGTTTGGTAAAAAGTATTGTAATATATATCAGGTTAAATACACTATGAAAGACAGACTTTATTAATAGAGTATTGACCGATTAATAAGGCACAGCTAAAGAGTTATATACCGACAATATTTTTTTCTGATTTCACCACTTTGTGTGCCTGAAGGAGAACCGCGTCGAAACTTGAATTGTTGTTCCACAATGTTGCTTCTATATATCAAACTTAGAAATGCTAGATGTCTTTTAAGAAATTATTTTTACTTTGGTATTCGCACTCGAGAATAATTGAGGGAATTTAAAGCTTGTACTTGGCTATTCAGATTTTTATTCGAGGTCTTTGCCTTTCGTAATTCAATTCATTTTACCGCAAATTTCACTCAGGCCAAAAGACACTTCTTGTACAAGCTTTCAAAGGAATGGCAAGCCCCACAGACGTCCGACTAAAAATGGTGCATATTGAAACATGAAGTATGCCCGATACACCTACACATACATATTGTAAATTTACTAATCCATTCAATACATTGAAAGGTTAATATGACTTTAGATCTATTATATAAGTAGCCTATATAAGGGATTCACTGGATTATGAAATGACAAATTATATATTATATTATAGTGTGGGTACATGTATAGAAAATATTTTATGTTATATAGTCTATATGAAGTTTGAATAAATTAAAATTTCTCTGAGCGAGCTATTAGTACATCCTATTCAAATAATGTAAATGCAAGCATGGGCGTGTCTTGTTGTTGGTATTGTTCTCCGATTACTATTGCTATAAATAATGACAGGGAGGTCATTGTAAAAAGCTACTTCACCAGCGAAATTTCATGACAGCGAAACTAAAGGTACAATTCAAAATAATAAATGGACAATGATCAACAAAATCTCATCAAAGTTCTCATTTGCTTATTCGAGATCATAATCTGACAAAAATACGACATTCTTTATAAATGCAAATCGGCGTATTATGCTCTGCCAATAACTAAACCATCTTACACCTAAATCTCAAATTCATCCAGAATCTAATGATACAAAAATTCTTTGAAATCTACATAAAGTTATCAACATCAGGTTTCGACAAAATCGGATCACAACAATAGACTCTGTCGCGTTCTACAAACCATCTTGCAATTACAAATTTTTAGTATGAAAAATAGAATTTTTCAATATCAAAAATCTGAAATAGATTTTTACTGTATCACAAATAATACAGCTTCGTGTCATTTGACAATTATTTGTTCGTATGTCCACAGTTAAGCTTTTAAGTGAAATTTCTGAAGCATAACTTTTATGACAAACATGTTCTTATACATGTTCGGGGTCAGCAAACGGGTGGTGAATAAGTAGTCGGTTGGATCACAATCAAAGCAAGTTCATTCGCTTGATAACTCCAATTTAAATTTGTTGTAGAAAATCTTGGTTTTTTTGAACAGATATGTAACTGAAGATCATTTACTCAATTTAATTTTACGTAATTGACGAAAACTATTCATCCATTTGAAATATTTTCTGGGATCAAGTCATGCTCTTATTCACTTTACCTTAAATAGCTTACAGTTACTTTCTATACACCTTTCAGATAAAGGCCAAAATCATATCTACTCAAGCATAATTCTAACAGGCGTGTTTACTGTGATTTAATAGTTATCTTTTAAAAATGTGACACCAAAATGTTCGCTTTAAGGCATTGTTTGGATTCTAGTCTTAACTTGAAGTAATATTAGGAAACAACCTAACTTTGTTGATTATCGGGCTGAATTTTAGGTCCACTCTCGCCAGTAACATGTTGAACTTAAGTTTAAAACCCAGTTTGACATTTGAACGCATGATCAATGATGTGTGATGAACAAGTATTCTGAATGATATTTTTACCACAACAAGCAATAGGGTTTCTACTAAAAAACTAAAGCATTCGTGAATAACTTTGAAATTTTTCTAAGAGTTCGTATTCAAAGACTACTCAGAACTGTGTGTAAAACGATGTAACACTGTTTAACGTTTCAAACACGTCATTGTGAATGCCAGTTCAAAATTTGGATCGAAGATGACTTTTGTGTATCGTTAATTAAGAATATTTCAAACTTCTTTTTATTCCTGGAAAACTTACAACGTTTCGAAAAGATACTTCCTTTAATCGCGCTATGACATAAGTTCAAAGTGGGACTTACACTTAAAATATATATTAATGTATATTAATAAATTCTCTACTTATGTGAGCCCATCTGATTCAAAAGAAACCTCTTGCTTCCAAAATTTAACAATAACCTTTCATGGTCTTGTCAACTGTACAGGACAATTAGTAATAAAACATGCAGTAAATGTTACAAATAACCTTGCACCAATTTTGCTCTATCGTCAAAAGAGCAGCAAACAGCAAAATGTATGTTAAGAAAATTAACATTACTAGTTAACAAACCTTGATAATCAGCTGGTATAACAACAGTTTCATCAGTTTCTCCAAATTTCTTAGCACGTTCATCATATAATACATTTCTAGCTAATAATTTTCTGACAGTTCTACTCTCATACAATAACATAGGTTGACCGAGGTTCACTGGTAACGGTTGGGACCTCTTTGTAAACAATGTTTGAGGATTACACCGTACCACCAGTGGTAAACTAAACTGATCAGGAATCTCCTTCATCGAGTAAGATTGAGAACTCCAATGAGTGCTGGTAGTATTCTTTCCATTCCATCTCTTTCCTTGAGAACTTGTCCTGGAGCGGCTACTCATGTTGATTTCACAAACAAACTGATCTCTATATTAAAAAACCTATTTGTTTTTCCCGTATACTATATATTTAATACGGTCTGATTATACCGATAAATACACCTTTATGAAGAAATCCTTCCCTATATATACGTGAGTTCGCCAGTAGGGTTACGCTGGTGTGTTTTCTATACGTTTACTTAGAAATAATTTTCTTCTATATAGAAGGTTTATTTATTCAAACCACTCCATTGATTTACTGTGTTATGAATAAGGGCCGACGTTTATTGAACCCATGAAGTATTTCATACCAGATTTAAATATTTCAATGTATAGTAGTAACTGTTGCTTTATATGGAACGTGACCCTTAATCGTATCCTATACATGCACTTTAATGTACACTTCATAGCTTTCTCTGTTCAATAGTGGCCATGCGAAACAGTAAACGCTATTTGTATTAAATCTCATATATTCAAACACCTTTACAAATTCTTATCAAAATACCACTTGGAAAGAATAATATTAGCTGTCGTTTCTGCCCTGAAGATCTGTTGCTCGCGAATTTGTCTCAAATTAACACCTATCAGACTTCCTACGCTCTAACTAATTTTGAATTAGATCAAAAGATAAATTTCTTATGATGTAGATCAAGATCATTCACACTACAAATAACAGCTAACCAACGAGCCAAACATTTTTTATTTTTGGTGGAGCTTTATTGCATAGTCTCTCTATACGGTGTTAAAGTTCGCCACATCACGAAAATTGGTTCATGCAGTTAATCTTTGTTATTAAATAATGTTAAAATTCTGACTAGATATATTAAGGTATTATTTCTTCGTTCTTTTGCATCTTATTATAAACTAAAGGTGACTTCAAAGATTTAATATTATTAAATGTTCATGTTGTAGATTACATTGTGCTCTGTTTCCGGTTAAAATCATATTGTACCTTGGAATCTTGGAATGATTTGGACACGTGATTCACCAAAAAACTGCCCCACAGTGAACCCAATTCATCTCAGGATGTTTCATGGTGGTCTACGCATTGCTTCTTTGAAAACCTTTCGGGACAAAAATCAACCTAAGAAAATATTGAACTATGAACTTTAATTTTCCGACTTTATTGGACTTCGGTCAACATTGTCATGATCACATTGTGGCACATGGAAATAGGTTTATTTCTGTACAATATACATAGCAGACATGCGGGTGGTCGTACAGACCAACATCACGGATGGATAAGCCGAAAAATTTGATTAAAATATACAGCAAAAACTCAGGTAGTTTTGTTTTTGTATCTGATTCTGGTCCCCAACCTGCCACCTCGTCATCACCTGTTGTTCTACCACCCATTTCCACCACAGACCAGGGTAGAAAAACGTCTGATCCTGAAAACGTTTGAAGCAAGAAGAATACTAGAACAAATTACAGTCCTCAACAAGTCCGATCATTAGAAAAAATATTTCTGGATACGCCATACCCAGAGCCTGAAGTAATGGAACAGTTGTCTCGAGATCTGGATATTCCCGAGAAAAACCTGAAGGTATTTTTCTTTTTAGTTCCTTCTAAGCCAAATTGCAAACACAATTTTCATTCGACATCCACTGTAATATATTT